TGTTTCTCTCTTTCCCTTTGCTCCATTTCAAATTGCCTTTCCCTTTCCTCCCTTCTTTCTCTCTCTAATCTTTCCTCCATTTCCCTCACCCTCAGTTCATGCTGTTGGGCTATGAGTATTTTTCTGAGTTCTGGGTCCTGCTCTCCTGTGCTGTCACCTTGCACTGAGCCAAATTCATCCTCAGAACCTTGGTCAATCTGGGGGTCTTTCACTTCACTCATGTCTGCTACTTTGCTTCGAGTCAAGGGCATAATCCCCCCTCAGAACAGGCTGCTTTAAAAGTCAAGCCTCAGAATAAAACGACCACTTTTTTCCTTTTTGCCTCAGAACCAGCTCTCCCTAGAGATTGCTGCTGTTCTTCAGCACTAAATTTGCAACAGTATCGAGTCAGAGCCTACCCCCCTCTGCTGGGCCTCTCAGCTGGCAAGCTAGCTCGCTGTTGCTACGCAGTTTTTCCTCAGCTTTTTCCCGCCAAAACTAGGCTGCCTCAGAGCACCTTAATCTAAGTCTCCCCAGTTGGCACGTTCTTCTACTAGTGCACCTCCCCGTGAGGTACACCTAGAAGATTACCTACGCGCCTCAGACTGTCCCTGACTAGACCCCCCTTGCTCTGGGCACACTTGCCAAGGCTTTGCTGGACCGCTGGACAACTGGACCAGTCGTATCCCACACGCTGGACACCAATCAATGTGACAAACCCAGACCTACTGGGATCTATCACACAGTTACTAAGCTGCCACCAACCATTCCCTATAATAAGTCACACAGACCAGGGATGGATTTTTAAACAATAAAAGAATAAGGTTTATTTTAAATACAAACAGGGTAAATAAAACAATCGGGTGAATAAAATAAAGTAACGTGGCTTATTCTCACACACACAAGCATACAGTTTTGTTCACCTAGAACCTTTAACTTAAAGCACAGACCCTGAACCCATCAGTTCTGGCTAACCCACAGACCCCTGAACCTTTCAGGTTGGTACTCTGACACACAGTAGTACCCTGTCAGACACCCAGACTCCCACAACAGCTTCTTCTTCCCCAGCTGCTGCTTCGTCCCAACCCAGTGTCTCACAGTCTGTCTCAGCATCTACTCTTCACCACACAGGCATCACATATTTATACAGTACAGCCCCTCCTCCTGATGTCCCGCCTTCCACTCCCCATAGGATGGAACTTTCCCTCCAAACCCATGACAGACAGGTAACATCAGTGCTGTTATGTAACACTCTCCATCAAAACCGCCTTTCTCGTCGCAATCACTTCCGCGAGAAGAGCTAGCGAATTGGCTGCCCTGAGAGAGGACCCTCCATACTTACAAATACATCCTGATAAGGTCACATTATACCTGGACATCTCCTTCTTACCTAAGGTGATGTCAGACTTTCATTTGAATCAGTCAGTTACACTCCCTACACTATTTCCATCTCCGTCCACACCGATTGAATGACAGCTTCACATGTTGGATGTAAGGAGAGCCCTCACCTTCTACCTGGATAGGATGAGGCACTTCAGAAACTCTTCCCTGACTATTCTTATGCTATTATGGCCCCAACAAGGATGCTCATGCCTCCCCTCAGACGTTGTCGAGATGGATAATGTAAATGATCCAGTTGGCGTACCAACTTGCAGGCAAGCCGATACTGGACCATTTGAAGGCAGACTCTATACAAGCAGTCTCAACATCGACCGCTCTTCATCAGGGTATACAGCTCCAGAACATCTGTAGAGCGGCTACTTGATCTAATCCTCTGACATTTGTGAAGCACTTCCGCCTCAATGTCAAAGCCAAGAGTGATGCGGCATTTGGAAGGGTGATACTGTCATCTTTGCTACCGTGACGGCCCTCCATCCGGTGAGTAAGCTTGCTATTCACCCACTTGTGTGCATTCACAGAGGCCTCTATGAAGAAAGTTAGGTTATATACCTGTAACCATGGTTCTTCTAATGGACCTCTGTGAATTCACACATCCCTCCCTTCCTCCCCTCTATCCATCACGTTGCCTTTGTCAGTACCTACTCTTGGTAACAGCAGTTATTAGGGAACTGAAAGGAAGGTTGAGGAGGCGGAGCTTGCGCCGGGGGGCACTAAATTATTTCCTTTCCTAAGCTCTAGAATCTTCCGAACTTCCTGCGCAGGTGCAGAATAAACCCATTTATGTGAATTCACAGAGGTCCACTAGAACAGTGGTTCTTAACCTTTGTTACTCGGATGCTTTTGAACTGCAACTCCCAGAAACCCCAGTCAGGACAGCTGGTGGTGAAGGCTTCTGGGAGTTGCAGTCCAAAACTCCTGAGTAACCCAAGCTTAAGAACCAGTGCACTAGAAGAACCATGGTTACAGGTAGGTAACCTAACTTTTTTGCATGGTTCAAGGTTATCGATCTGCTTGTCGGCTTTCACCCCAAACCCCACGTATCCTGTGTCATGGTTTAGGTTATTGAAGCTAGAATGTAATTTCTAAATGGGATTTGTAGTCATGGAATTGTGTAGAAGGAATCCATCCTAGTATGTGTGTCATGAACTAGATGCTTCGAGAAGCTGATTTTTTTTAGAGCTAGTTGGAATTTTCCATGTAGCAGCCTTAGCCAGAGATGATAAGGACCAAAGACATAACATCGAGGAAGAATGTCAACAACACCTGCAATCCCATGAGAAAAGGAGGTGGAGAGAGATGAGCAGTCCTTCATCCTGATTGGTTTACATCAGTGGAGAGTGAAGAAGAAAGTGGTTCCAGCTTGTGAAGAAAATGACAGGATGATGGCAGAGAGAGAGAGACCTTTTTGAAACCCTTTTTTGGATTTTTGGATTTTATCTTGGATTATGGATTTTTGAATGGACTATGGAGTTCCCATTGCTATAGCTAGGATGTAGTTCATAGCAAGGATAGAGAAAGGGGGGCTCAGCCTTACCCACCTTTCTAGCTAGTAGTTTTCTTATTTTATTTTTATAGCTGGGATTTGCTAAATTGCTATTTTAGTTAATGGAAATATACTTGAATGCTATGCTCAACAAACTGAATATCTCAAATTCTTTATTTTTCTAATAAAACAATAATACTTAAAAACTTATGTTTGGTCTTTTGAGCAGAAAACCTGCTTAATTACTTAAATCTATTTAGGCCACAAGTATGCTACTGAGTCCAATTAATTACTTGAGTTTTGCTGGTCTTGGCAGACTCTGAGACTCATGGTTTTATCTTTGGTTTTCTCAGTTAATTATTAAATGGGAATAGACTTGGGAAAAGAGTGCCAGGTGGGACAGCCTAGTTGAGAAAAGGACTCATCTCAACTTAAATAGGGGTACACTGGACTCTGGAACCTCTCTATTCCGGGCCCCAGCATTTTCTAAGGAGGGCTGAGTGCTTACGCCCTGTGAGGTTAACAGACCGTGGCAAGGTTGCACCTTATTGTTTGGGGACTGCCCAGCTTAAGGCGGGTGGTAGCTACCTAGTGAGGTGCAATGACCTCTCCCAGTGTTGGAAGTAGCCTCTGGTATCATTCTCTACACCAATCGAGCAAAAACTTATAACCCGTAACTGTTACTTCCTGTGTTGCTTTGACTCTGTATGCGAAGCTGGAATGTCCTCCTCTCCAGAGCATGAAGCCTGAGTAAAATAATATGGAGGACAGGCTGTTACCTATCACTCACTGTCATTCACGTCACTGAAATAGTCCAATGGAAAGGGAAGAGCCAATATAACTGGTTCCAGCGACCTACCTACCTATTTTAACTTCAAAAGCTCATGACATTTCTAAGCCTTTGTGGACTCCCTGTGAAGACATTGTGCCCCCCCGGGGGGCTGTCCATGAATCCACAGGCTCTGTGCCATCCTTCTTTATTGTAATATTGATTGTATGCTCCTTGACAGGATAGTCATCTTATTGCTTGTGTTATTGATATATGTAGTATGTAAAATTCTATAGTTATTAATTTTGCTGTAAAAATAATCTTATTCTCTTCCTGGGTGTTATTGAATCATTCATGGTAAAGCTGGTTAAAGTGGGAAGTCTGGAGGCTGATGGATCTATATTTTCCTGACAGCTTTTGGGGAGTTTGTGTCACCTTAGGAGGTGATGCTATAAAACTCCTGGTCTGATAAACCCCATTCTCAAATGGGGAAATGGTAAGGACCATTAACACGATCACTCCTAACCTATGAAGTAGTATTCCATTTGTATTGTCTATTCTCCTTAGGAAGATATGAATTTAAATGAAGATAGAAAAGTTCCATTGAGAGAAAAAGATGTTGCTACCAAAAAGGAGATGGTTATACAGTATATGAATACTGCTTCTACTGTGGTAAGTATTCTACAGGTGTGGAGTCCTTTAAAAAAAGACTTTATTGGGTGGGAAGCGATTAACTGACAAAAAAGAAGCCATGATTTGGGTGTCTCTTAAAATGCCAGTTAGTGCAAGAGGGTATCTTGTAGATCATCTTAGTGCTGACATGGGTGTTGTCACCATTCAGGCTGCTTTTTGCCAAGTAAAGCTTAGCATCCTTTTTTCCTGCTGCCAGTCCAGGTACAATATTGCACAGCTGTATCAGGCCATTTCCTGGTTATTTGGATCATGGATAGAGAAGCACAATGTCTTCCATAAGCCACACAGTTTTGAATAGTATTATCACACTCCATTGTGACAATAGACATTGATTTGCTGGAGTCTCTAGTACAGCCTTCTCCAAGCTTCAACCATCCAGCGCACACTTTAGCTCTTGTTTTTGGACTGGAGTAAATGTTGGTGATCTGGGTATGGATAAACTCTTCAGATTATTACCTGGTGAGCCTCAGACTCACTGGAGCTCAGAGATTCTGCAGAGGTTGGAGATTGATTGAGACTGTCTTCTTCTGGAGGCTGATGGATCTATATTTTCCTGACAGCTTTTGGGGAGTTTGTGTCACCTTAGGAGGTGATGCTATAAAACTTCTGGTCTGATAAACCCCATTCTGAAATGGGGAAATGGTAAGGGCCATTAACATGATCACTCCTAAGCTATGAAGTAGAATCAAAGTGGCCCCCTAGTTTTGTGGGAAGTTGGTCATAAAGAAACAAGATGGAGACAAGATAATAGAAAATTCTGTGTGAATCTGAACAGACATGGGCTAGGGCCTACTGGAAGGCCTATGCTGTGGGAGTGGCAGCGGCAAAGAAATTATTCTGTCACCATTGCATCTGCATAGAGTTGTCTGATATAGCTCAAGCGTGGTCAAAGGCCCGTTACATGCTGGCCCAAACAAAGAGAACACAAGTCACACTGTAGCCCTCTTTGAAGAATTTGTGTGACAATTTGTAGTCAAAACAGCTCAAATCCCCTCGGTTGAATACTGTTGTTGATATAGGCCCTGTTAATGGTACTATGGTTCCTATTTATCCTCTGTTAACAGATGCATTTCAATTTTTACATTCTGTTGATGTAGACAAGGACCCTTGGAAATGTGAGAGCCAGCACATATATGTTGGACCCTTGCCCTTCCTGATTGGCTTAGTGGATATGAGGAGTGGTGAATGCCTCCTTACAGCAGAGTATGATCCCAGCAAACTTAAAGGAGGCAGTAAGACTATTACCGAAAACATCTCTTTGGGTCCCATGGTATTGGATAATTATTGGCCAGTTTTTAATGTTTCATTCCTGGGCAAGGTCCTGGAGCTGGTTGTGGCTTCTCAGCTCCGGCAGTCCCTGAATAGGATGAATTGTGTAGATCCATTTCAACTTCAGTCCTGGTTATGGGATGGAGACTGTTTTGGTCTTCTTGGTGTGCTGACTACTAGACAGGGAGAGTGTATCCCTGTTTGTTTTGTTGGATTCTTTGTGGCTTTCAGTACCATGGAACCCTGGGCTGTTTCTCTGGGATGGAAGTTGGAGGCACTGTTCAACAGTAGCTCCAGTCGTTCATGTGGGAGAGAACTTAAAAGGTGGTGCTGGGGGGGTGTTCTGTTTGATGCCTTGGTGTCCTTCAGAGTTCTGTTTTGTCTCCTGTGCTTTTTAATACTATCTACATGAAAGTGCTAGGTGAGGTTGTCCGGAGTTTTTGGATTTGGTGTCACCAGTAAGTGGATGGCTCCCAATTCTATCATTCTATCTAAATCCAAGGAAGCTATTTCAGTTCTAGGCCTGTGGTGTCAGTAATGGAGTGAATGAAGGTGAATAAACTGAAACTTAATAAAAGACAGAAGTGCTTCTCGTCAGTCAAAGCTGATCAGGGTATAAGGACCCAACCTATGCTGGATGGGGTTATACAACCCTTGAAAATACAGGTGTTGATTTGTCTGTGAGCCAGAGTGCCCAGTTTCTGCAGTAGGCGGGAGTGTATGAGGGGGTACTGATAAGTATTGAGCCTTTTCCAGAAAAAATGAGCTAGGAAGCTGTAACCGCCACACTATTCTACATATTCCCCCAGGAAGTCAGTGCACTTGCGACATCTGTTCTGCAGCTTCTTAAGTCCCTGCAAATAACATTCTTCCAACTGATGGTGTACCCACTCATTTGCAGCATTAGTTGCCTCCAGAACACTCCCAAATTGTTGTCACTTTAGGTGTTTTTTGAGTTTGGGGAACAGATAATAGTCAGAAGGAACCAGGTCGGAAGAATAGGGTGTATGGGGCATCACTTGAAAGCCTAAGGACATGAGTTTTGCCATTGTTTCACTTGCAGTGTGTGATGAGATGTTGTCATGCAACAGGATGACACATTTGGAGAGCTTTCCTTGACATTTTTCCTTGATGTTTTGCCTCAGTTTTGACAATAAAGCACAGTAATGTTTTGCATTGATGGTTGAACCCTGTTGGAGGTAGTTCACCAGCAGAACTCCCTTCTTATCCCCCCAAAAACTGTTGCCATTTGCTTCTGTGCCAACCTTTGCACTTGGAACTTCTTTTGCCTGGGGGAACCACTGTACCTCCATTCCTTAGACTGTTGCTTTGTTTCAGGATCATGACAGTAGATCCATATCTCATCACCAATTACCAGTTTGCCCAGGAGATCTGACTCATTTCTTGCAAAATGTTCCAAAACTGCCACCGATGACTCCACATTTCATTTCCTCTTTTGTTCGGTTGTCAAAAGTTTGGGGATCCACTTTGCTGCCAGCTTTCTCATTTCCAAGTGGTTGTGGATAATGGCACCAACTCTCTCATGTGATATTCCCAGATATACTGTATAGCAATACTTTGGGCTGATATTTGGCGGTCCTCCATGATCATGTCATGGATGTCTTTCACATTTGCAGGCACAGAGACAGAAACAGGCCTTCCGCTGGGTTTCTCACTTTCAACACTGAAACGGCCAGTTTAAAAATTGACAACCCAGTGTTTAACTGTTGCTTATGAAGGGCCACTGTCACCCATAGTTTGTGACATTTCATCATGGATCTGCTTTGCATGTTTCCCTTGGAGAAACAGGAACTTGATTATGGTCCTATGCTCTTCCACATTGAACTTTTGTGGAGGTGCTGCCATGTTCACTTTGGACCTGAACATGAGAGATAAGTTAAAATCATAGGTAGTTGATTTTTGCACCATTGGATACAAATTGGCCAATACGCTCTGCAATTTATAGCTTCCTAGCTCATTTTTTTCTGGGAAAGGCTCAATATTTATCAGCACCCCCTCATATTTACATAGTTAAAGCTAGTGTGACATTTTAATGATCTAAGCTACCTTGGATCCTTCTAGAAGAAAGATATATACAGTGGTGCCTCGCATAGCGAGGTTAATCCGTTCCAGATTAACCTTCGCTATGCTGAAGCATCGTTGAACGGGGCAGGGATTTCCA